CATTTCCACGTGGTAAGCTACTTCATTGTGCTATAATTTGTGGCTAGGTCACGTCTAAAAAACAGCTATATAGCTCAGTGGGCCTGACCTGGTCAAATATAAAATAGAGGACAGAGTTGTTTAAAGTAATGTGTGTTAGTAGTGGAGATGCACTTATATATTGAGTTCGGTGATTGCTGCTTAAGCCAATATTTGGATTAAGGGATAGGAGAAAAGGCTTTGAAAGTTGCAGGTCTCATCAGGGGCAGTTTTTAGATGACGAAAACAGATATAAATCCGTAGTGAATACGAATTTATAATGCATTTTTTCACTCATTACACACAAAGTACTTGCCACAAATGAACCACAATACCTTGCTGATCTCGTCAATAAACATACATCCTCGTAGCGGCTTTCGGCTAGCCATCAAACAAAAAAGGTCACTGCATTGCAGTGATGGATGCGATTCTGCGACCATCTGGAAAGTTCATCCTTCCGATACTAATAAGTCAGGGGAGCTATGCAATTTAAAATATGTCCTCTATTAAATCCCGGCGTTCCGTTTGTCTGTTTGTCCATCAACTAAGAGCCTTTCATAAGGCCTGAATCAAAAAGTTATAGAAACTGAAACCCCCCCATCACTAGATGTGGGGGCAAAATTTGACCCATCAGGTTTCCAAATAATGTCGACCCCCCCCCCCCAAATAAGTTTATTTTGTAGGCATATATTTCTACACATCCTGCATACAATAGAGTCAGTAGAATCTGCACACATTGGGGGGGGGGGGGGGAAGAAGAGGTCATCAGTGGGGGGCGATGGGCGAGGCGCAAAGCGCTGAGAAGCCTGAAATTCTAATATTGAAAACTAATTTCTTTAGAATTGCTTTTTGTGTTTAGTTTGTTGTCCTTTGCTCGCCCTTCGATTAGCACGGTTAACTTCGTAAGGTACAAAAATTCAACATACTTTGTGGGGAATTATGGGTAAAATTATAAATATGCAGAACTCCGTTTTATTTCACCACGTCTTTATATGAATACAATTTTAATTCAGATGCAGGATGCAGCAATGCAGGTGTGTGCTTCATCGGTATGTAAACACCATGTTCTTCAAAAACTGAAATTGTCTTCTCCCTTGTACAACTGTGCGTGTACTGGCACGTTGAAGGCGATATCTAAGTATTGCATGTGTGCCAATGTGTAATGATTGTCCCCCTCCACCACTGTGATCATGTTTTACCCACTCCACAAAAGCCATTAAAAACTGAGAGTTAATGAGCGATTTCAGGAGAACTCTTCTGACCCTTATAACCGCAACCCTGTTACATGCAACTCATAGGAGCAGTGGTGTCGGAAAAACTCATCCTTAATCTTTCTAATGTATGTTGTAATTTACGGAGAGGCTTCCAATTATCCACACCATTTTCAAGGATAATTGTACTTGGGTGGCACATTCCTCCAATTATGTGTATCTTTTTCCTAGTTGATAAGTGGAGTAAATTCGTGGATAATCATATCCGCGAATGTTGGTCTCACGTATTGCTTTGGATAAGAGGAGTTATCCTGGACTGCATTCCTGTGAATGTAATGTAGCTATAAAAGGTACCCTTGTGTTTTTTGTTGTCGGTACCTCCTGGTATGTGGGTTCAAAAATATCTCTGGTCACCAAGCTGTAAACAACTAATTCTGCACTAACTTGGCTGAGCAAGTAGGCAGTGTCTCTGTCCAGATAATCATTTTCAGCTATGTTCCACATAGCCATTTGAGGTGAAATTTTGCTCTGCAACTCCAAGTTCGTGATGGAACAACGATCTGTTCACGTCAAGGTTTCTTGAAATGTGTGCGCATACCAAATTGTTCCAGTATTATTTGGGGAACCAAATACTACTGCCCACTACTTTCTGCTGTGAAGGCGGTCACTAGTTCTACATCTCACTCCTAGGCAATGGTGATTGTACATGATTCACAAACTCCATATCCGTTATTCTTCAATGCATTTTCTGGTTTTTACTACCTGTGGTTCTGCTTGACGTCCAACGTTTCGCTCCACGCGCTGGAAGCTCCCAGCATCCCGAGAGCTACACAACTGCGAAAAGTCCACTCCGCCGTATTACCCATGTACATTTTAGTGATGGATGCAGGAATTCATGCAATAGAAAAGAAAGTTGATGGAGGGGATGATTGAGGAGATCCTTGTGCTGTGGGGCACAGCATAACGATCTTCATAAACCTGCATTGACCAGCGTGGTGAAGTATGGTGAAACATACCCCATGACCGACACAGCATGGGGAGGCATTCATCTAGCAGTGGGATTGAAAAAGGGTTGAAAGTGATTACTTGTTTATTACGATAGGGCATAATTCGGAAGACCTAAAACATCGTGGGCTGTCAAGAATGAAGGATGACTAATAGCGAAGTCATTGCTATCTTATCCGTAAGGCATAGCAGGTAATAAACACGAATTAAAAAAACTAAAAAAAACGTTTTAAAAATAGAGGTGCAAAACCTATCAATGCCAATTAGAAATGCTTCATAATAACTGGAGGTAAATGCAGATACGTTGTGATTTAAATATGCCGCATGTGTTTGACATGTTTTGACCTTTTATTTATTCATATTAATGTAACTGTTTAAAACATTTCAGAGCAAGACAGAGTCAGAGGAAGTGAATCGGTTTCGAAGAAATCATTTTGGCTCATTACTGTTTTGTCTCATGCTGTGAGATGTGTCTGTGTTATATTGGCTACACTGCGAATTACATCATTAGCCACGAGGTGTAAGGCATATCAGTTTCAGACATGTGAGTACAAATGAAGGTCTATTAGATTAAATATCGACAATAAAATCACGTTTAACTATCTCGTCATCCTGTTATCTGGCACCACTGCTAGTGTTTTCTACAGTAAGTGGTAGTTCTGCAATTTCACATCCACATTTCAGACATTTTAAATATGGGAGTAATCGTTACTATAATCATGAAGTGGACATTTTTCGTTGGAATAGTTGGTCAACAAATTATGGCTGTAATTCAGATAGAAATCGCTTCTGCCTTTAATGTAAGGTAGAAATGCTCATTCAATTGTACAATTAAATAATATGGTGGTGGACGTATGCAGTTTGACTTTTGTCACCCACGCTCGGATAGTGATGGTGCATTCATGTCTGTGCGTGTCGAACTATTGTTTCATATGCCACAAAAAATACTTTTATTTTAAACCATGGATAATTACTTTCAAAATACCCAATATGTATTGTCAGGATAACTTTAATGTTTCATACTGATGTTTCCTACTTTATTCTTACAGTATTGGAGAGTATTGCATTGTCGAATAAACATAGTTGAGCTCATTCATTTTGCACCTAAGTGTAACAATTTATCACGGGACCATTTAAATAAAAATTGTTGTTGATTGTTCTCAACTCCACAACTCCTATTTGGAGTTCCACAAAATGCTCAATGCCGGGACCTTTGCGTAATTCATTTTTGACACCGTTTACATAAATACACACAAAGCATAACTTTGTCGCTGTATTAGAAAAAAATCAGCAGGATATTACCAAGTTGTTTTTTTTTTTCCCACAGAACCTTGTAATGTTTGTAAATACAAAACTCCTCTGAGCTTTTTTTACGTACAAAAATCGAGCCACATTTTGGTTAGGTGACACATTTTGGTCAGGTGACACATTAACGTGTTTCATCGCTCCGTCTCCTTGGGAGAGAAGGGCCTCTCGGGCGTGTTCCGTTCCTCGATTAACCACTCCGTTATAATCCTTGACCATCGTCCTAACGGTTTGCGTGATGTTGTGGAGCGTGTATAGCTCTAAGCAATGTTTTGGAGCACTGACGCAAACGCTCAGGAGGTTCCAGAGGACAACCGGAGCTCAAACAAAAAAAATGTGACTGGTGGGGTTGTTACTGAACATCGATTTTGAGACAACGCTGTCAACATCATTGTGAACGATGGTATTTTTTTTAAAGTATTGTTTCTCACTGTTACTTAGGTTACTTTTGATGTTTTTTTTACAATTTTCCTGACAAAGGCATCTTCCTAGACATGTATTTTTTTATCGCAGAAGTCTAAAGCTGCAACGATGCGTGTTTTGTTGTTGCTGATTAAAATTGCGTCCCCACGGGTCCTTAAGAGGATTGACAGGAGCAATAAGTGGATTAGAGCACTCAAAAAGTTAAATGACCTAGATGGGAATGAATTCGTCGGGCACAATTGTGCATTTAAAACGATCCCGCGTAAGCCGTGCATTACAGCACCGACGAGATTCCAGGACGATTAGCGTGACCGACTTTGCTAAATGTTGCGCGACTTCAAAACTTCTACAAAATGTCACATTGACGGGGAGACATCCGATGTTCTTGCGGCATTAGTATTCAGCTCGTACATTAATAAGCCTGACCTTTCGGACAACCTGTTGGGCTTTCGCTAAAGTTATTCAACCTTGACGTGAAAAGATGTTTCCGTAATATTGCATTGGGACAAATACGGTGTGAACGTGTGTGTGATATATTCAGATGTGTGTGTTCCCCCCACCCCCTACCCTCCTCCCTCCTACAAAGTTATAAATACCATTAGATCTCTTAAGAGTATTTGCTAAAGTTTACATTCATGGATGAGCTACATCTTATTTACGTGCCCCTTAGTGTTTGTGCCGCCATAAGCAGTCTTTCAAAATCGCACGGTTCTTGCTGTTGTGGAACACGTGCTTTTTTTTGCTTTAGCAACACATGCTGAAACCCGTTTATTTACACTGTCACCTTCTCTTTAACCCCCCCCCCCCACCTCCACACGAGACGTCCTCCTGACAACCAGCCCCGTTTTTGGCAAACAAAACACCGCCACTCCGCCAAGCAAGCTTTACGCGACGCAAGTGAGAGCTGGATCTTACTTACTCCTCTTCGCTCCCTGTGGAGCACAAGGCCGCAACAAGCCCACGCCATGCTGGACGGTCTTTAGCAGCTTTCTATGCTTCACCCCAAGACAGGCCCAAGAGCTGCCCGTGGTAAAACGGAACGCCGCGACGTGCATGCAGACTGTGCTTGCACGCACGCATGCGAATGCCTGCACGGATGATCTACCAAACGTGTTGAAGTGCTTCTGCGTGCAAATTCCAGGCAGGCGGTGCCAACGTTTACGTAAACTAATGTTGCGAGCGGAGCTCACCTGACGATCAAGGTTCTTTGAATGGAAAAGTCCCGTGGCTCTTGCGATGAACCGTTGAGCTGTTCGAAAAGCTCTTGGTAGGGCATTTATGCTTCTATCTTCAGCGTAACTTATTGGGACTTTGTAGATTGCTCGAGCATGATGCAGGTACATGAGAAAAAGGGGGTTCAATTTGAAATGAAAACATGGATATGGTGATACCAAAGTTTCTGGCAGCACATCGTTCGGCTTATTTTGGATAGATGTTGAGATGCCATTACTGGTTTTGCGCATATTCTGCAGAATGTATTTATTTGAATGGCGAATGATTCGTGTATTATTTGGATTCAGTATGAATTTTTCACAACTGCCGTATGGAATTGAAAATCCTGCCGTCGTTCAATTTGGTGCCCGTCTCCTCTACCCTTGGCCAAAGCACATAGATTTTAGTAGTGGACGACCTTCTCAACCCTGATCTGATCTCTCGCTCTCCAGGGATGTTTCCTGCCACAGCAGTTTGTGCTGAAAAAGCAAAGCAGAAGCTCTTAAGTTTTTTTTTTTGTAATCTCGTGAAGCCACTGTTAATAACTTCAGTTGAATTGCTAGCACATGTCAACGAGCAATTGGTATTGTTATTGCAAATTGTTCCTGCCAGTGCCAGCCGGATTTTGTTCAGGTCTCCTCTGGCACAAAACACAACTGAATATAATTGCCTATTGTTAGACCATTTGAATAAATCGAATGTAGTTTGGGGCACATACAGGAAATTCTGTGAAACTGTACTACATTTTGGAAGCAAATTCTGTGGATTGATTAGATGAATTCCCCCCCCCCCCCTTTCCAAACAGTGACTACTTGTCTTAGGTCACAATTTGATAAAAAAAAGAATAAGTTTTTGTCTAGGGTTTACATCCTGTTTGTCTTTGTCTCATTTGGTCTGCCTTTTTCGTTACACTCGAAGCAAGGTATATTAGGTTATCATATTCAAAAATGTTATTTAAGAATCGATTTGTGTTTTGGTATACGATTCGATTATTCCATGTCTTGTTTCACCATGTCATTGTTTCGTTTTACGCCCTCTATTAGCCCTAATGTAATAGCATATAATTTGCACACATTTTAACAATCGATACACCATTACACCCCAAGTGTTTCACCAATAGATGCACAAACTCCTGAAATACAACCTAGAAAGTGGGGCAGTGGTGCACTGGTTAGCAGTGGTGCAGTGGTTAGCACAATGCACTTTTACCCTGGCGACCAGAGTTTGATGATTCCTGGCCACTGCTAATGTAAGTGGTGAGTGATATCTGAAATGGTGCCCCGTTCGGTATATAGACATCTGTCTAGCCGGGGCTTCAATTCAGAAGACCAGCTTGTGAGACCTGTGTGGTAAGACTAATTTGATGAGGACTTTCTTGACTCTGCCAATAAAATATCTTGGAGGTTTCTTCAGTGCTCATAAAATCATCCATCAAGCTGCTGCCCACAACACATCCTGTTCGCTGGATATTTACAAGTTGCACAAGCTGCGCTAACCAGATAGAGCCAAATGACGCATGCCTGCATCTTATATCTGTTTGGACCGCATAAAGAAACTGCACAATTTACCATTGAAACTTGCAAACATACAGGGGTGACGTAAATTTATACCCGACTGCTTTTAACGATTCTTGTAAACAACCTCTCAGTGAGTTGTTGTGGAACATTTTGGGCGAAGAGTAAAGTAAAACGCACCCCAAATCTGAGCCCGGTGTCAATAAAGTTTACACAACTACCGTATGGTCACACACACATGCATATCAAAATAATTATAAGGCCAGACCCCCAAACTTTTTTCTTGAATTAGAGGGAATAAGTGGGCGTATTTTAAATTGGAGATTACGGCATGAGCAAAACTCTATCCAACGCCCTCCGCATATACAGTAAATAGTCTTTTATACTGCCGGATAATATTGATCTGGAAAACCAACAAACCCATGGGCTAGACTTTTGTTTTTATTACATGTGGATACAGGAAATTAAGAATTGTGCTTATCTATTATATACCTTGTGGAATGTGTCCTTGAGTGAATGATCTTCTCCTGGCTGAACACAGAAATCTGTTTAGTGTTACCTTACTAATTGCTTTACTTGGTGTGCGACGATGCACAAGTTCTACGATTCTTACGCTCACAATACAATCTTGTGTGTGAGAAACGTTAACGATTCATGCAAGTTATTTGTGAATTATATGCCGAGGGTTGAACGTATTAGCCATCTTGGATTGGCTAACGTCGTCATAATAACCAATGAGATATTTGCAGAACGTACCAGAGAAGGCTGTAAGGTTGCAGTGAAGATAATGAGCAGAATCAAAGTCGTATGGTGGTATGTATGCTAAAATTTATTTTTAGGATGGACACTACCTGGAAAGTTGTAATGTAATATGTACTGTATAGCTAAGGCAAATGTTGAAGGCAGAATAGGATCATATACATAAAATTTATGTATGTTGAACTTCTTCTGCACGTACGTAGCCAACCGTGATAATCAAAGGTGCAATTAGCACCTCCGATTGAGGCAAATGAGAGCAATATCGGGTTGCTTTGGAGAACTAAACCTGAACATGAAAAGCAACATAATGTGCTTGAATAAGAAAGTGTTAATTTGGTGCATAGTTCCCATTGTGACTCGTAGAAAATAAAAACCCAATGCTTTTGACAACATGCAAAAAAAGCAGAAAAATAAGCTTAGCAGATGAATGCTTTGCATTGTACTGAGAAACAGGAACATGTTTCTCGGGAAACGGATCACAAATCAGAGACATCGTTTTTGACTGTTGAGGAAATTCAGTGGGCTTGGACAGGGCACATCACTAGATGGACAAAACTTGTGATGGAATGGCAGTCGGAGGAAAGAAAATGTTTGAGAGGATGGCCATTGCGGAGCTGGAGAGGAGGTCGATTTATGTGGAGAGCTGAGATGCATTGTGACATTGCAGGACCATGATGAATGGCAACAGCCTGGGGAGGTCTTCATATAGCAGTGGAAAAAAATTGCTGATTATAATATGCTGATTTAGGCTGAGAGCACACACCTGGTGCATTGCTTCACGCTAATAAGTTCATGGGTTCAATTCCCCTGTTCTGTATGGAGTTTCTCCGGATTCTCCAGTTTCCTTCCATAGCTAAAAACACAATGTGACTGATGTTGGCCAAACATTCCAATCCTGAAAAACTTCCGGCAAAGTTACTCAATTAGAATTATATGAAGCGATATTGCCCCCCTACTGTGAAACCTTGGCAGGACCCTGTTGAAAAATAGTTGAGACTCACTGAGGCTTTTTTGGGAAAACAAGCACAATAAGAATAAATAATACATGGGGGCAAGAAACATTAAAATCGATAACTACATACTTTTTTTATTCGAAGTGTGACTGAATCTTGACAATTTATTGACTATCTAATTAGGGGAAGGGGCGAGGAGTTAATTCCCAATATTTACAGTACTGAATATTTTAATCATATCCTTTAGCTGTGTATACACATTTGCTAAAATGATACAAGAACATTTTCCCCAATGAGAACGATGGGCGTTGCTATGGAGCTAAACGGATTAGCTGACGATTAACATTCTTTGCCATTTAAAACATGTGTGCGTGGCTCAGATTTGCTTCAGTGTTTTCGTCCAACACTTGTGTATTGTTCTAGTGTTATCTCTCGCAGCGTAAAACTCCGGAGGGTTTCTTTTCCCAGTATTTTTTTGGCAGGCCTCTTATGGTCCAAGACTACGCTCTGTGCGAGCCAGTGACAGTGTGTGTGTATATGGGGACTGGTAGTGTAGTAGTGGTCGGTGCACTGCTATGAACCTGGCTACCTAGGTTTGATTCCTGGCCATGGCTAACTTCGTCGATAGCGAGTAATGTCTGGCAAAAACCGATTGGGCAATAAATACTCCGTTTTGGTGGTGGCCTGGTTACTTACACTAGTTCTGGGCCTCCCCTAGGTCCACTTGGCCTTCAGTTAATACTGTCTTCACAGGTGCTCGCTAACAGCACTCGCCCCAACATCCCATGTAGACTACATGTAGGATCTTTGTGTGTGAATGTGCACCATACTTTTGTCTCTGCATGCTTATGTGCTACAATGATGACTGGGAGTGTGTATGCAGGAAAGGCTTGTTAACAAAATATATATTTTTATTTGCATAGAACAAATGTGAAAACCGTAAAAATGCTCCGAGTTAGCATCTTGATACGGCATTAGTTTGTTCTGCAGTAGTTGATTCGAGAAACACAGAGCTGTTATTTGATTAGGTGCTATAAACTTAATACAGCTATGGAAAGTAGAGCCACCCGTTCATTTTCTTTTCCACGTTAGACTTGGGCAGCCGTCCCTGTGAAGCGCAGTGCATGGCAGGACATTAGTTTTGGCCAAACACCAGGCCTCTCAAATTGGAATTTGGACGGTGCGCGATTTTGGCCAACGAGTGGCGTGAGATTGAGCAGTGGTGGCGTTAAGACCATTAGTGGAGGCCAGAGGTAGCTAAGGATTAAGGGTAAGGGCGGGCAAGGGAATGCCATGTTGTGTTTATCTTTACCGTAGATCGCAGGAGGTCGGAGTAGGGGAAATAAATCGACCTAACGATGCATCGGTTCACCAATTTTAATATAGATTATTGGGCTGTTGATACAAGCATCACATTTATGAATGTCGCTGCCTGCATTAATGTTGACGTTCCCCACTTGTGATCCTGCAGTGGGAACCTTCAACTGTACGGAATACCATCACCAATGCAAGTGGCAACACGGATTCGAAAAAGCTTTTAAGATTCTAAAACTATGCCTATAGGGGCGGAGCAGTGGCTTTGATCCTGGAGACCTGAGTTCGCTTCCAGCCGTGGCTAACAAAAGTGGAAAGTGATTCTAAACCCACCCTCCTTTCACCAATTTGCACTGTCCAGCATAGTGAGCTATGGTCAACCCCGCCCTCCTCCAATGACCGACACTGCTTAGGGAGGCCTTCATCCATCTTCGATTAGCACGGTTGGCTACGTACGGTGCAAAAGAAGTTAAACATACATCTTGCAGTTTATTTTACAAAAGGGCTGTTATTTTTTAAAAAATATACATAATTGGTTCACATGACCCCCCCCCCCCCCGCCGCTCCAACCAGCCACTGCATTCACCACAATAGCAATAGAAAATATCACAAAACATTTTATCGGATCGCAATTCTGAATCGTGACAAGTGATCAGGTTGCGAGTGGCTCGAGTTGTTACAAATCTGTTGGCTGTATAAATGGTTATGGCTAAACTTTTTATTTTACCAGGCCAGGCCCACTAGGCTATGTAGCTCTTTTTCAGAAGCGACCTGGCCACAAATGATAACTCAACGAAGTGGCTTATCACGTGGAAATTCATTGCAGCCGAATAATAAAAATTCCTTGCAATTCCTCACTCGCGTTAAATGCACGAGAATCGGTGCAGCAACTGTGAGGAATATGAGCATCAGGCTGAGCGCGTGAGCCTCGAGTGGATCGAAACTCCCGTAAGTTGCCCGTGAGGCTCGCCTGCCCCCCCCCTCAGCCTTTTCTTCAGCCACTTCACTTTCGGTTTTAGTTTTCATTATTCTTTCCGAAAACGTCTCTTGCGCTGGCTGCGGGGCATCGGGCGGCTGCGTTTCCCAAACCCTTTTTTGTTTTCGTCTTTCGAAGAGTCATCCGTGTTCTATGGAACTGCCCACAGCTGTTTAACGGAAGTCCTCGTCATCCTTTCCTTGCATACAAACATCCAGGTATAGCGCAGAGCTCTAATGCAGGGCTCACGATGTGCGACGGTTTCACATGCAAATAGAAACATGATTTTCAAAACACAAAGACCGAATTTCTAGCTCTCTGTGATTTGGGGCCAAACTTAACCATTACATTCCAGTCATTAAATAAAAGTGTTTTTCCCTCCTTAATGAACAGAAGGAGTTTCTTTAAAAATAATTTGAACAGTGTATGCTTTTAATGTTTAATGTTCTCTTAATATGTATTATGGCAGATACCTTAATGGTACAGTGGGCACCAACATTAGATGTGTCAGCGGTCATTAAAATAGTGGGCTCATTGTTTGGCCGTACATTGTGGTCATTATAACATGGTAATGGCGACCCATGTATCCTCTACCCCTTTACAAGAGAGAGAGAGAGAGCACGCGCAAGAAAAAATAATCTCGGTATAAACACACTCCGCCAGGAGACCGTAGAACAGAAGGGGCCATTGAGATGCGCTGCAAGCAAAATCTATGTACTGAGAAAGGCAGGAAGGAAGGGGAACTTGCTTGTACGCAATGCTGTGTTACCCTAGGGGGGTGGGAACCTGGGTCCGAGTGTGAAAAGCATTTGGGGCGCATGTATTGTCAGAGACGCATGCACGTGGCGTCCAAAGCTGTTTTATTTGGCGCTTTGGGTCCTGTTGGCCCCGCTGGAGGATAGGAGCCGGATGTCTTTGTACAAGGCCCGTGGCTTTGTTTAGATCACACCAGAGGCTCCTCTAAGACAATATTCCGGAAATGCTGAATAGCGGTTTTATAGCCATCGTCGTTTTTGTTTGTTTTGTTTCATTTTGTGGCTGTTGGCAAACACACACTTTGATTGTCGTCCCACTGAAAAAAAATGTAACCTTTGCTAAAAAAATACTACTGCTATTTATATTGTGGCTGTTCATAATGAAACAATCTCAAAGCACAGTTTTTTTTAGCATTTAAACGGAGCAGCTTGCATGCAGGCTTTCTTTGCGCAGCGTGTTGAACTGGTGTTCCACACTTGTTTTGCGTGGTTTATCGTTATGGAATATTCTACAACAATTAATTTGTCGTAATGATAATTTTGTGGTGGAGCGGCGGTGCAGGCATTGGCGCAGGGGTTGACCATAACTCTTGCTCCGCTTTTAACATCAAACAGCTCCAGTGTCTCTTATCTTGTTTAAAAAAAAATGTAAAGCCATTTTCTTACGAGCATTGTAATTATTTGCAATTGAAGCCGGAGAGCAGCTGCGGTTGTGCTTCGTGAAAGCAAGCTTGCCTGTGGAACCTTTCCGCTCAAGTTCAACTCTTGGCCATGGATAACGGCAGTGGCAGGTAACCTACGCACTAGACCAATCCAGACGAACAAGCGTGGGGAAGAATGATCGAACCACGGCGTCTGGAGGCCTTCAGCAGCGGATGAACACAAGGGCTGCGAAATTTTCTTGTCAGATGTTACATTCAGAGTACTGTAATGCACAATGTGCAATAATTACAACGAATACATTCTGAAGTAATGCCATCGAATAGTATGATGCAGTACACGCGTGGTGACGCATGGTGAAACAGCCCCAATGTTAATCCACTGCTGGGGGAGGTCTTTACCCATCAGTGGATTAACCATCAGACCAAGGCCTTGAAAATTATAACAATAAAAATACAAAGTAATACTTCGATATCAAAATAAACTCAAAACTGATATCGGTTTTAGCGTGCGATATGCTACAGCAGTTGAGCCACTACAACAGCTGTTTTCTTTGGAACGATTCAACTTGCTGATGGGTGATGCGGTCGGCACTGCCTCCCTTGAGCTTCTGTTTTGATGAACAATTCCTTCACGCCGTTTCGGCATGCCGCTTTTGAGAAATTGTGCATGAACCCTCCCCTCCCGCTGAGACGTTTACTTGCTTAGCTGCGTTAACTGCCTGTTGTTGTTTTGCATTAGAGGGCGTCTGCGGGGCGAATGAAGGTGTTGTCCTAATGCCCCCCCAGGCCCCTATCCTCCCACTGCGGAACCCAGTGTACACATGTAATGTATGCATATATAAGCCGAGCTGAAGGCGCGGTCAGGCAGAGGGGCTTAAATCCACTTGTGCGTGGGGTGTGTAGTCTTAAGCATGGACAATGACCAACCACAGGTATGTTGCTTCAGCATCTTTGATGTGCGGTATCCCATTGTATTGTACATTGTATCGTTCAACAAAATTGCTTCGGGAGTCTTTGTCACCAGTTTCATTTGGTCTATCCGGGGCGCGGCAGTCGGAGCAATAGTGCACAGTCCTTTGAAATGTTCCCCGCCTCCGTCCAGTGTGGAAGAGTGGAAGCCACAAATTCCCATTAGCGTGGCTCTCTCGAGATCAGTCTCGTGGCGGCCCTTCTGCCAGCAGTGGCATGGGCCAGGAATTGCAAGGCTGCACCTTTGCATTTTAACTGCTGGACATCTGGGAAAAAAATAAGCCTTGGAGCTCATCGGATTCCTACAGTATAAATACGCATTCTGATTAACTTGGGGCAAATGCTTTGACCAAGCTCTTACAAAAATGAGCGGTTGCTCACTAACGGTTTGTGCAGCTGTGTATGAGGAGCACAGGTCATGGAGACAGTCGGCAATGTATGGTATTAACCGACGCAGCCCAAGTAGTCGTCCTGCACTGCACACATGACGTAATGCAGTATGAAACGCAAACATTGATCCGCGCAGTTTAATCAGATGGTGGAAAATAGCGTGGATTCTTAATTTGCCTTTTGCGCCATGTGGGCAGGAAAGACAAACGTGGATTATGTAACTTAGATAATTCGGTACAATTTAATGACAGTATGGTAGTTTAATCCTGTCTGTAATGGTGAGCGATATCTGAACCAGTCTTTTCCCCCACCCCGCTTCTCAACCCACACCATGAACCAACATGGTGAAGTATGGTCAAGCCACCTACACGAACAATATGGTGTTGGGAGCGCTTAATCCAGCAGTACAATATCCTGGACACTAAAATATGCCACCGGTCTCAACATACTTAAATCTTTAATTAAAACACACTTGCACAATATTTGTAATTTTTTTCAGCTTGACATGTATGTGAAGTTATTAATATACATTTTTATGATTAACCTTCATGAGCTCGCGCATTAACACAATTAACATGGTCTTCAATAATCTTTTCTTAATTGGAATTTGTCAAAAAAACATGTTTTCAGTGATACAATGTTGAAATAATTAAAGAACAATTACCAACACATCTTTAATAAAACCTCTAAATTGGTCATGGATAGAACAATGGATGATGCCATGTTAATGCAATAGATTAGTTCCAATATCTACTCGTTTTCTTGAAACCTTTTCTACTGTTACAGACTCTAATATATATTTAAGTGCCCTAAATAGTACATGGGTGGTGTTTTTTTAAAATTAACGAAACATGGTAGCACATTAATCAATGGTCGATGGTGGAGGAAAAAATTTACACATCATTGTGTTGATATATTTTTTAAGTAGCTTTACAGGGCATTTTTTTTTTAGTCATTGTTTAATCCAAGATGTTTAAGCTGTATGTATACTGTACACGGACGCTCCAATGCTTGTGAAAAAAATAAGTACATTAACTTGTTACTAACGTTCTATTTCATTGCAATGTAAGCTAAAAGAGCAGTGGCACTGTGGTTGGCTCACTGCCCCGTGAAGCTGTTTTCCCGAGTTCAACTGTCAGCCGTGAGATGTCATAATATGATCTATCGCAGTAGTTTGCCAGACATTTCTTTTGTGGAGTTGTCTTCAACCGAGGGCTTTAAATGCAATGCCCTTCTTCACCGTGACCCTGTACGGCTCCGCACCTGCTCAGTATTTCTACGCCAGCTGGCTTTCCGTGTTCGCAAGTGAACGTGATAATGTACAGCATTTGCTAGCATCCGTTTACTGCACAAAATTGACGTTTGGACTATCATGTCTCAAGGACTGGAGTGTGATAATTGCCTGGGATTTGGCATTCTCGTTGGGCTATCAATTCTCAAGGGCATGCTGAATGTTGCCTCTTGTGAAGAATGTTGGATACTCTGATATGCTGATGAAAAAAACAGCTACAAAGCAATAATCAGTTTAATTGCACTAGGTACTGATATGCATAGGTAGCATTACATATTAACCATTTTAAGATTGGTTACCCTGGTCATGTAACCTGATAGAAAATGTACACACATTAATCATCATCTATGTCCGACCACACCTATAGATGGTCTCCCAAATGTCTCCATCCCTGACACTGTTAAGATGCCGTAATCCGTCTCACTTTGCATGTGAACTGATTTCATCACTTCACCTTGTAACCATAGGCTAGTGTGACTTAATTCTTCAAGTGCATTTGCTCACCATTCTTGGCTTAAGAAGAAGCACATTAAGGTCCTGAGATGTGTGCAAACCTGGTGGCCAACTACAAGAAACGTCTGACCTCTGTGATTGCCAACAAGGGTTTTGCCACCAAGTACTAAGTCATGTTTTGCAGAGAGGTCAAATACGTATTTCCCTCATTAAAATGCAAATCAATTTATAACATTTTTGACATGCGTTTTTCTGGATTTTTGTTGTTATTCTGCCTCTCACTGTTCAAATAAACCTACCATTAAAATTATAGACTGATCATTTATTTGTCAGTAGGCAAACGTACAAAATCAGCAGGGGATCAAATACTTTTTTCCCTCACTGTAGCAGTGCGAAAAATGCCAGATTTCTTTGAAGGTAGATAACCAAAAACACAAATTAAGCACAGGCACATAAATACTTTGTTTCATCAATCCAATGTATTAACATTTCCATTTTTTTATGATTGAGAACCAGAGGGGTGCAGGCTACAGTAAAGGTTAAGAACCACCGATTTAGTAAACAGGTCAACTAATATTGTTACAACAATTGATCTCACTTTTTTGACGATGTCCACAGTTGTACCAACTTTTCTGGGAGCTTTCCATGTTGCCTTTTCAAGTGTGACATCTGGAACATCCTCTTCCTAAGCTGAAATATATTTAATTGCCTTGGGTATATTTTTTTGTTATTTGGTATCCGAATCGAACGATGATGTTTCTATCATGCACTCCGATTCCATCTTGCTCGGGCTGCTATTTGTGATTTACCGCTCATCAATTATTATTTTTTGCTCCATGCGTAACGTTCTTATGTTCAAGCAGATGCATAACCATGCTTGCATGCACGCGCAGGGAGATGCGATGGTTTACGTTCACTCGTCATGGGAGAGAATATAGGGTTCAGCATGTCGTGTGTACACGAGTCTGGGAAAACTGGTCTGGCTTGCCTTGCAGGTCGAACATATCTTTAGCTCAATGTGAAAGCGATTCAAGTGGTGTAGCTGTCGAGTGTGCTGGTGTTGCAACTGCAACGGGGCCCTTGGACTAGAGTGGCGCAGGCGCCGGGCTACGTAGAGGGCGAGAAAATGGAATAGGGGGCCCCATTCAATTCCTTGTGCTATGGCACATGCGATCCATGCTGCTCCACTTGAGCTACTGTGTGCCGTAAGCGAAATACACCAGTGCAGAGTTGTGCACCTCTTACATTGCTGTTTGTGCTGCCATAAATAGCTGTGTACAAATGTAAACGTGCATCTTAGATTAATTTCCTAAATGCGGTGCTTTCTGATAAAAAAACACTTGGGATTGACTTTTAAAAAATATATACATCGTTTTAAAAAAAAAATCAGTAGCGCCAAGTATAGGACATTAATGTGTTGCAATGAACATCACTCGTTTAAAATATATATACATGACTGGTTTTCATAAACCCAGTAATGGATTTGTATCGGGCTTGCCAATGACACCATTAAATAATGAAAAACTTTATTGATCGAATCTTGCAAAACCGTGCAAGCGTGCCCGACCACATTGCTATAATTAAGAATGATTTAAAAATATATATGTGCGTTTATGTGTAATTAACATGATCTGAACTGACTGTGTCTGACTCAGTGGCCTGGTCTCAGTTATCTGATGAAAGTTGAAAGTTGCAAGTGAGAATTTCATCATCGCCTGCGGCTGGGGTTGGCATCGTCCCCCACTCCTGATGTCGAGGGTAAATGGGCGAGGTTTAGGACTGCGACTCATGTAGCTGCAATGGCTGCTTTGGGTACGCAGTCCAGACCTCCCCAGAGACCCTGGCTCACAGATGAGGTGTTCAGGATGGTTGAGAAAAAGCGACAGGCCCACTGTCATCGGCTACAGAATCCCACGTCAGAGAATGAGGAGGCTTACCGCAGCCTTCGCTCGGAGGTTCGGAGAGCCATGAGGCGCTGCAAGGATGGGTGGTGGTCGCGGGTTGCTGAGGAGATGGAGTCTGCCTCAGTGGCCCGCGATCACAAATCTCTATTTAACTCCAAAAAATGTAACCTGCAGCACCACACCTATTACCATCATTAGGGGAAAAAACGGTGATCCAATCTCCGACCCCCAGGAACAGGTTTGCAGATTTGCTGAGCATTTCTGTGAGGTCCTGGGGGAGGGAAAATCCCTCAGCCAGAAAAACATCATGGCACAAAGTGAGGATGACCCTGCTGAGGCTGCAGTGCCTCATATTGGAAGAAGACACCCCCGGTGAGTGGCTGGCTGAAGTGCCATCTGTTGAAGTACTGAAGGCGATCCGGAGTCTGAGACCAGGAAAGGCAGCGGGCAGAGATGATCTCCCAAGCGAAATGCTGAGGGAGGGTGGCATTTGTACACAGACTGCCCTATATGACATCATAACAACAGTCTGGACCACTGGACGGGTTCCGCAGGATTGGAAGGGGGACCGCACAGACTGTAACAACTACAGGGGCATCTCACTCCTCAGTGTGCCGGGAAAGGTCCTGGCTTGGATTATTCAACATCGCCTTGCCAGGCACGCTGAGGAGAGGCTTGCGGAGCCCCAATGCGGTTTCAGGAAAGGGCGGTCCTGCACAGATGCCATATTTTCTGTCCGTTTGCTACAGCAGAGGTGTGGTATCCTAGGTATCATAGGCCTTGACCTGGTCAAGGCCTATGATACCATCAGTAGGCCTGGGCTCTGGGTTGTTCTTCGTGCTTTTGGAGTCCCTGACCCTCTGCTCACTATCATTAAGGACCTTCATGATGGTGAACGGGCCCGGGTAAAACTACGTGGCCGGGA